TACTCAGCACAGTTATAAGTGTACAAATCGTTATCTCTATCTCTTGTAGTAAATTGCATATTATTCTGATATGCTAAATCATCGTCAGCAGTGCCCTCTATAAAGTGGTTATATAGAAGTCTGTAATTATCATCCTCGTTAGTAATTTTGAAATCAGAGTATTTCACGTAGTACCAAAGGTCATTATCTTCTCTCTGTAGGTCAATATGAAGTTCATACAGTCTACCAATGCGGGTCGTAATTAAATGTACAGCCTCGTTCCCCAACCAGAATTCACCGTTGATATTACCAAACCCACGCTTGTAGTCTTCCCAATATAAGTGGAAATCTTGCGAGCCGTCCATACGACGTTGAAAGACGGTCCATCCAGTATTACCATCTACTTCACACCACACTGGGGTTCCATACGGCAACCCTTCAGGATAGATTTCATAAACACCAGTTTCTGTATATCCTGCGTTCACTACATCTTGGCAGTCTGAAAAGAACGGTGGGGCAATTATATATGGAACTTATGCAAAACGTATCCAAAACAAATCCACAAACATAATCGTTCCGGAAATTTTTGCTCTCGTCGGAAGATGCGTATTGTAAACACTGATGGCTTTCTGGCTAAAGTAAAAAGAAAACATACAACTCACCAATGAGTGTTACATTTGAAACTATTGCCATTTCGTTTCTCTCATGTTTCGTCTTTGGTTCCATAGATGATGTAGTTGTAGCAGGACCAGTCGGTAGAATTTTCATAACAACTGTTCTATGAGAGTACCAATGCCTGACCACGACTTCCAGTGTATTCCATCCGCATAATCAGCTGTGTAATCTCCGTTGCCATAGAAATATCCATTCAGGTTTGCAGTGTGACCATTAGAAAACCACATGGAATACCACCAACCACCAGAATACCTATTGCCGTAATCAGCGTTGATGACGCCATCGTTATCTTGGTCGAAAGTAGAAAACTGAGTACCGTTATTAATGCTCATAGAATCACCTGCAGGTCCACCTACGAATGATTTCAGCCACAGGCGATATCTCGAGAATGCATCCTCTATGCGAAAGCCACTGTAAATTGCGTGTCCATTATTTGCTTTCCAGTCAGTCAAATCAATCCGTAGTTCATATTCCCTGTTATTGCCATTTGTAATTACGAATATGTTGTCATTTCCCAACCAATGTTCTGCATATACGTCACCGAAACCATCAGCGTAGTCTAAGAACGAGCGGTCAAAGTTCTCAAATCCATCTTTACGGCGTTGAATTATGGTCCATCCATTTCCATCGTTCATTTCACAGTCAACTTGGAATGGTCTCGTGGAGCCAAGAGGCCAAATCGTGTAAACACCACTGGTTGTTTGTCCTGAATCGTATATGTCTTGGCAATCTGTCGTGAAAATAAGGTTAGAAATAAGTTGATTTGTTTAAGTTAAATTAACATGACACAAACGCGTATTTCCAAGAATTATGCCATTCCTGGTCATGTGACTTATTGGTTTATTTCTGTTGGTTTATTTTTTGTAAATCTTTTGTTTTTATGCAGATAGTAAACCATACGCAGAATACTAATGCTAATTTCTACAGTTGTATTCATTGTAACTGTGACACATTTTGTAAACCGCTATTGTAAATATATTTATTGTAAATACATCTACCTACCGTTCTTCTTGTCAATAACCTTCTCCGCCTATTAACATAATGGAATGCTCTGCTTATCAATAATCGTTATCAATAATAATGTTTACTTGGTAAACATCAGTATACCCTACCCATGCCTCGTGTACAGCGGAAATAATATTTATAATGTATTATTTACCTCATTTAGCATTCCATTGTACAAATAGGCGGCGAAAGCAATTGGCAAGAAGAACAGTCGACTATAAAGGAGGGGGTAGGTAACTGACATTTTTCTACTCCCTGTGATTTGAACCCACAGCAGCACCAACTTTTGGCCGCACTCGTGCGATTTAAAATATTCTGTTCATAAGTGTGGCGTTATATCCGAGAACCCAATTTTTTTCGAACAGCTACACACGTCACCGGTATTTCATCATCGGAATGTAAACGACCAGTTCTTGGCAACCAGTTATTGCGCATGCGCACGCTCGACGGCCAAAACACCTCAATGCCTAACTAGTCTACATTATGTTAACCCTGTGTTTTTCTTCAAATAACGGAAGGGTACATAATGTTGGTACATTAAGTGGTATTGTTTTGTATGTGTATGTGTATTAGTAAATTTGGATCAATTGTCTTCTCTACAGTCACGTGTAACATCAATGTGAATGTTTATAAAACAGTTTGACTTAACTAGACTTGATGTTTACGTGTACTCACGGCAAAAAACGTAACTGAGATTAGATAAATATGTTGCGAATCCCCCCTCCCTCGTATATTGTTCGTGGAAAAATAGTGAAAATGTTTTAAGATAAAAAATATTTCAAATGTATTAACTGTCTGCACAATATATATGGGCTTTACATCAAATAGTAACATTGACGAAAATACCCGCGGTTAGTGTGAGTGTTTTATTCTGACTCACAACGTTAAATTATATATCGCAACAGGGCGTCTACTTGCGAGAAATACAAAGCAAACTTATATTTTTAGAAAGTGTCCTCAGTATTACTTCAATTACTTCTGTTCCATCACGCAACATTTTGGCCTGACCACGGAAAATCATTCAAGAATTGCTGCCAAGTGTATGACAGGAAGAAATCAAAAGTTAGCAACAGATTTAATGAACGCTATAACGAATTGAGACATCCAACACCTACATTGGTTCAATAAATCGTCCGTTATAAGAACGACTATACGACTGAAATTCGTATGTAATGTCATGATTGTACAACCTATTGTCATACAGAGACTAGTCAGTAATGCGAACTCAACAATTAATCACTAACAAGTGTGACAGAATCAGGAAAAATCGTTGTTTTGGTGTTCTGCCGATTGGACTAGATTATCAGGATTTATCAAGAATTATCTTTCTAATCAGTGTCGTCATTCTATACAAACAATAGATTTGAATAAAAATCCTCCTCTGTGATGTTGGATTTTGTTGGGTTCATTATGAAAAACAGCTCCGCCGTACATTAAGCGATATTCATTTTATGTCAATGGTTTTACAAAATGTATTTATAATAATTCAATCATGATTTAAGACATGCGCTGTATAATTCTGTATTGGAACTACCCTCGTTTACTATAAATCAGAATGAGGGTATTCTCCCATGAAAAAAGTTGCGAGGATTGTTATTATTTAGAAAACAAACGTACATGTTCATAGCACAGTATCGTAGGATTCGAAGGTTTGGCGCAGTTGCATTCTCTTTGGAACTCAATTGCAGCCTGGGATAGTCTGATAAGATATTGAAAGAAGGCGACTTTCAACAAAATTTAAATAAAAAGCGTTTGATTACAAAAGCAAATGAAATACCTAACAAGAAAACAGACAAGTAATAAAAGCTACATTTGAAAACCATGAAGAAAACACATTACTACTGCAATATTGACATCGACAGAACACTGCGCGTCAATGCCCCCTGACTACAATACGTTGAAATAAGATTTGATAAAGTGATTTGATAAAGTGATTTGATATCACATGATACACTGTGCAAGCGAGTATGACGTCAGACAGAACAATTAAATATGCTATTTTACTGCCGTGTGATTATATCAAAGTTTAAGAGCAATAACAATATTTGTCATTGCTCTACATTATGTAACATCGCTCATGGTATTATTATCTAAGCCAGATTGTATTGTATACACCCAATACTCTGAACCGTCTCCTGTTCCAGTAATTTCAGAACACATAAAAGACACATGTGAATATACACTAGACGTACCGTAATACCTTTCTTCTTGTCCCAAACTGCCAGTATGCAGTGCCGTTAAAAGTAATAACACAATTGCTAGCTTTCTTACCATCATGAAAATGTTGATTGCGAATTGAGCTGTTAATGCGACATGCTTCCTTATTTATTGAGATTCAGTGAGTATTTTAGATAATATGCCATATGCTTCTTAACTTCGATAAATTGTTTTGTTGTTGTTTTCTTACGATTGTATTTGACATCAGCACGATACGATGATATATCGGCCTAATAATCTTGACTGTAGTCACGACTTGCTCGGCTATGTAGCATTATCATACTGTCGCACTTTATACTGTGTGAGTATTTTGATAACATGCCATATGTTTCATAACTTCAATAAATTAATATGTTTTTCGTTTTACCCTATTGGAAATGAGATTACCAACACGATGCATATATATCAACCTAATTAGGTTTTTTGAAAAAAAATAAGCTAAGTTAAGTTGAGCTGTAATAAAATCCTAAACCACACTGTGAGTATAAATTTGTAATTACTGATCTTCAATTACCAGCAATTACCGTAAGTGTGGTATTGCTAGGTCACGTCTGACTTGCACTTAATTTATATAAACTCATGTTCAACATTTTCCGATTTCCAATTCAATACTTAGTCTGTAACATAGAATGTCAATTAGTAAACCACAAACTTGTATTTATATACCAATTTCGTGCCACACATTCTATGACAGCTTGGCTAAGTGTTAATGCCAATGTAGATGATATGTGACTGCGAAATAATATTTTTTGGCTTTTACAATTGAAAAAAAGTTGACCAAGCCAAACTTGAACCGTGAATGACTTAGTACTTATAGCCTGTGCTGTAAAATAATGTGGGTTGAACAAAAAGCATCTACACTAATCATCACAAGACGTGTATTGATTTTGTGGTGAATAATTAAAGAAAAAACATTTATTTTCCTTTGAATGATGTATTCAAATAACAATTGAAGTATTTTGTTGTAATATTAGAACGAATCATTCGTGTTTAGTAGTCGCTACCTTTATTATGTGTTTTCTGATCTATAAATAATGAATGTATGATAATGTCTCATGTTTCAAATGTACACTGATGATTCACAAGGCAATACGAGATGTGCGTGTGTCTGGTTTTTTAAAGTACAATGCTTTGTCACGGGATAAACGTCAAAGGTGCTAAGTAATGGTGAATTACTGGACAGGAAAACAGTTTTCCGAAAACGTTTGGACACGGGTTTTAGTCGAGAAATATTTACTTGAACTTTAAACACATTGTTATGTATTCTGTAAATATCAGCCGAAAATGCAGAAGTGTTTTTTCGTTTTCTTCTATATCCTGGCTTTCGAACACTGTGTATGGTAAATGAAGGTCTGAATGAGATAACATACAGAGAATTCTTTATTCAATAATGTCGTAGCACCCTTCCCACTACCTTAATTGAAATTTCGCTATTGTATTGTAATCATTGAAATCAACATCCGGATTATCATCAAACAGAATACTATCATGTCGTGAATCTTTCATGGTCATATGTCTTTTTCTTCGTGACAGAAGTAATGTTTTTTCACGACATGGTACAACAACAACAACGAAATAACATCGTTATTCGTTTTTAATTCGCCATTTTTGATATAACTTAATATAAACCTTATGCACATGGTAGCTGGCTGTAAATAACTGATCGATTGCGTTAATTATCTTGAATGAAATTACAACGTTGTTTTCCGTTGCATTGTGATGTTATACTGTCATACAGAGTGGGTATTGAAGATGCTATGTGATATGCTTGTCAATTTCAATAAATTGTAATACTGTGTATATATCATGAGTTCCTATATGTATTGAGCATTCAAGTGCAATAGAATTCTGTTTCCTGTTATGTAAGCATGAATTTCTTATAATACATGCTTCTCCTGGATCGAATTATAGTGCGCATTACTTTTGAAGAGTCAGAAGTGTATAGTTGGGTGAA